TAAAGCAAATAAACAAAAGACGTACATCTGCAGAGTCATTGTTGGAAGCATCACCAAATCTCTTGGACAGATATCGTTTTATGTCACCAACTGTCAGAATACCTTCCAAACAATCATCGCCATCAACCACAAGGGCACAATTCTGCTGGTCATCACGCATACGGTTTAATGCCTCTCTCAGAGTTTGGGACAAAGAAACTTTCAAATAGTTGTTCGACATTGCTTGAGAAACCTGATCGAAACAAAAAAAATAAAAAATAAAAATAAAAAATAAAATAAAATAAAAAAAATGAAAAAACACACACGAGATTGTTAGTATATTGACATGAAACAGAAACGGGACTTCTTTCATATGTGACAACGGACCTTCATATTCTCTAGTAAAATGTCAATATCTAATGGCTGATAGCTACTGGAGTTTCCAATAACCGAGAGTTCTATATCATTCCCATCACCAGATTGTCTCCAAAAATCATCGTTTTTGTCTTCAATAGGTGATACAATGTGATAGCCTCGTGGAGAGCTTTTTGTATCTGATGCCTCTGCCTCCTTCGGCTGGGTTGTCACAGAGGGCACCCATATGGCTAATCCAACGGCACCCTGATTCAATTTAAAAGGACCGAAAGAAAATTACCATCACTATGGGATATAAGATGAAAAGCCATTCTATATCATCACTAATCCAGCCATTTTTTTTACCAGAGATAGGATTTAAGTAATAACAGGCAGTGGCCTTATAAGACCAAATAGTCTCACCATGTACAATCAAAGTAGCTGTATAAGTTGGTCTAAACCAACAGTACTAGGATCAAAGAGCTTTTCCAGAAAACACTATCACAGCAAAATACAATCCAGATCCACTATGACTTACCATGAGAGGAAGCAAGATTCTGTAATCTTTCGTCAGCTCAAAGAGAAGAAGAACCGAAGTTAGAGGCACTGAACAAACAGAAGCTAATGTTGCAGCCATTCCCACCTACAGTATGATACAATAACAGTGCAATGTCAACAATTACAATTGCAAAAAAAACTAATAATAATAAAATAAAATAAAAAAAGGTAATAAGCCTAAAGCCACAAAATAAGACATTACCAACGCATAGGCCTGAGGCTCGGCAACAGCAGCATTTCCTGGAATAGCCTTGTTGATAATCTCACCCGCACAGCCCCCAAATACGGCACCCACAGCAGCACCAATCATCAAACTTGGGGCATATAACCCACCGACGAGCCCAGACCCTTTACAAAGAGTAGTAGCCACCACTTTGGCTGCAGATAATTGAGCTAGAAGCCAGATTCCAGGTGCCGATGCATTTTTTCCGGTGTGTAATATCTCATCAACGTTATTAAACCCCCAATACAATATTCCAGGATACCTAAGAGCTATTAGCCCAGCTCCTAAACCTCCTATAGCAGGACAGACCACGTCTGGAATCCCGTACTTCTCTTTGGCAAACTTAAATACCTCAGTGAACCAAGCCAACAAGCGAGTGAAAGCCACACTTACTACTCCACAAAGCATCCCCAATATAAGGTACAAAGGTAGCTCTGAGCAAAGATAAAGAAAAATTCAATAGTCAGACAAATGTCCCGATTCAATTTAACAGAACAACCGCCCTCAACAATCAAACTTGCTCATAAGTCCATAGTGAGCGTTTTGATTTTCACCTACTGCATCTTCCATGTGTGATCAAGAGCTTAAGGATTATGAGGG